GAGTGTTTTCAAATTTAAATGAGCATTTATGGAGCAAAGTTGGACCAACTGGTCTTTTGAAGAATTCAGGCCTCCTGTATAGGAAAATAAAGCTGGAAAGGAGTGGCTGAGAAGCTAATGAGATTCGTGGGAAGAGTCTGGAAATAAAAACCGATGTCTGGAGTGTCTGTCTTCTACCAGCAGAGCTGCACAGCTGAGGCTACTGCTCTGCTAAGACAAGTAAAGCAGATAGTTTGATTACTTTCTTCTTTCTTGCCATTTTTTTTCCTTTTTTGATAATGAACTTGTCCTGTCAGATGTTTAGGTTGACATGATACTCCAGGAGAGTTGGTATTTGCATTTTTTAATGTTCTCTAGTATATTCTGGCTGGTTGAGCAAATAGGGCAGCGATCAGGATGTGGATCCTCCCATTTGCCAGCTGTAATACAAGCCACTTAACACTGTGTTTCTGTTTCCTCATCTCTAGAGAGGGAAAATGATTATTCTAGCCTTGCCAACTATATAGGGGATAAAGGAAAGCACTGTGAAATATAAGTATTATGATTAATCATAGTCTGATTCTGAGAGCAATGTTCTTTCTGCATGATCTATTTCTAAACACTAAATTAAAGACATTTATTTATAATGTATATTGTATACTTGTATAAATGCGTAGTGTTGAGATATAACAAAATATGAAGCAATTATGAGAAAGTGATAACTTTGTCTTATTTTATTTTCCTCATGCTTTTTTCCACCTGCTCCACTAGAGTGGTGTTTTAACAATTAAACTGGGTGGAAATCTAGGAACCTACGTGATCAACAAGCAGACCCCAAACAAGCAAATCTGGTTATCTTCGCCATCCAGGTATGTTCAGATATCAAAATGTCATTGTTAAGCTTGTTTCAAACAATATTATGGCGATTTAAGAAGTGTCCCTAAGTGTTAGTATCTATGTAAGTGAAACTTTCCTAACATTTGACAACATGTCTCATTCTTACTCGGAAAGTTTACTCTGGTTATGTAACTTCTGTCTGATGATTATTTGGCTGTTACAAGCAGGTATTAGGTTGTTAACAAGATCTGAAGTGAAAAGTTTATAACTTCTCAGAACCCAGCCTAGACAGTTATTCTCTATTAAATCATGGCCCTGCCTTTTAAAAAGCCACTTTTGATATTGCAGCATCTGAACAAGCTGCACTTTGTCTTCAAAGCAAGTTAAAGTTTGACCTCTAGTTTGTTTTGAGTATCTGTTATAGATTGAATTCCATTTACAGACTTGGATTGTGTACTCTGTGGAGGTGAGAGGGTTTTTAAGCTGCTATTCCAGGCACTTAATCCCTTCTTCCTTTTCCATTGATGTGCTTTTAATCTACTGGATAAAAGATTGTGTTGGAGATGGCCTATGTTGCATCTCAATGCCTGAGAACATACTGGGAGAGAGGGTCCCTGATCCTTCTGGCTGCTGTAGAAGTGGTTATAGGAAAGTAAAAGAAAGATTCTAACAAAAAGCTCTTAGACCAACCTTTGTGGGTCATTCATTAGCACTTCCAAAGAGAACTTATTGACTGTGAATTGGAAAAGGCCCCCCATATAACTACTCCTGGAATTCTTTGAAAGACTAATGGTGTTTGCATTTTAAAAACATTTAACTCTTTCCTGCCCTAACATCGACCTCATTTTTAGACAGTTAAGATTATATCCTTTGTCACATAAATAAAGCATATGCCTTCTTCATCCCAACCTCATCTAGGAAGTATATTATAATATAATAAAAACAACTCCAGAAATCACTCTCATTTCTAGCAAGGCCCTGATTCACAAATTGTATTGCTTTCAGACTTTATTTATTTGAAGTTAAGGGGTCTTACCCTATGTGGGCCAGTTAGCTTGTTCTCTTTGGCCTCAAACAGTTGTCCTAACCTTAACCATGGCTATGCATGAGGACTGTACATTCTTATCCTTCATTTCCAGAGGAACTACTGCAAGAAAGTAGATGGATCGGCCCAAATTCAGCCATCAGCTATGGGGTTCGGTGGCTTTATAAAAACTGGGCAAGGCACCAGACCCAATTGTAATGGCTCCACTAAAAGACTTCTTGGTTGTGTCTAAAGAGTAAAAAAAATTCCGTATCATATTTGGACACCCCTACCAGTATCGACATAAGAAACGTCGAAACCTGTTGATAATTTTTATGAGTTTATTTGAGCCAGATTGATGACAGTTGCTGTTGTTGTGACCGAAATAACGAGGCCCAACTCGAGTGCTCTAATCCAAGAGACAGTTTATTAGCCGGCGGCTGTCCTTGCAAAGGAGCAGCCCCGAGACGCAGGGGCACAAAGGTTTTAAGCCCTCGATTCCATCCCCCACATCCTTAATTTTTACACAAAAGACTATATCTCCTCCATTCATTAACTGATAACTAAGAGGTGGGTAAGCAAGCAGGGGTACAGAAGCAGAATGCGTCATTGTTAAAATATTTTGTACCTATAGGCAGTGATCCGGCCAGTAAATTCCTTTAGTTAATAAATTTTTAGCAGATAACTAACTAGAAGTGAGACATGGCGGTTAGCACGTACCATGTCTTATCCTTAACCTATTGTTTCTAAAGGTGAGGTCACTACACTGTGAAGCAAAATCTCAATGGATTAAGAAAATGCTCTGGAGAACAGCAGTTTTGCAGCTTATTTTATGCATGAGAATCAAAGATAGAGACATTAAGAGGGTTACATAAAATCGATTAGTAGATTAAGGGGGTAGAAGAAAGTAAAGCAGGGAGATCTCTGGGATTGCATAAAAAGTAAAATGGAGAGACACTTCTGTGACATTGGTGGTTATAGGATAGATGATATTTAACATTTACAGCACACAGAGATGGTATTGGAGAACAACATAACAATGAGGGGTTCTGCATTCTTGTGCTGCACTCTGGTACTGCGGGTGTGCCCTGCGGGCTCTGGAAAAGGAGATTGATTACACTGACCTTTCAAAGGTATGTCATCTTAAATGCAAAAAGACAACAGACAGGCTCACTAAAGGTAAAGATTAACCTTTGTCAAGGAAGCTACGGACCTAGGATGTGACTACCCATCATGGCCCGTTTTTACTTAGGAATTTTTATGTTCATACCATCTTATGTGGTTACTTTTGGTCTCTTGAGTTTGTAAGGCCAGACATGTAGGCCTTCCCTGAGTTCGTCAGGCTTGGTATGTGGCCTCTTTTTCATCCACACCAGCAATAGGATCCTACCCCAGGCAAGCCCAGAGACAGGTGAGCTAGCACTCAAAGACCTGGCTCCCCAATGCCCTCTAGGGGAGTAGGTTATATAAGGGAATACTCATTATTAGCTAAGGGAGTTGGGGTCATGGGCTCTACTGATTGGGCTAGGGTAGGTAGGAGGCAGTTGATCATTGCATCAGGTCCTGATGTCAGTCATGGCGTCATTCTGTCTGGTTTCAAGGGGATGCTGGTAGGGTCATCCGCCTTCATGGGCGTGGAGCTGTAAGATGTTATCTTTAGTTAGACTGAAACTGTTTCTGTGGTCAACAGACCTGAGGCTTCCTTCCTAAGACCCTTTGATGCTGACATAAGGGCTCAATGATTAAGGGAGTGGTGGAGCAATATGCAGCAGGATAAGGGTAAGGAAAGAAAAGAAGCAAGTGAGCCCAGGGCCAGTTTGGATCAAGGAGAAAGAGAAGAGAAAAGGTCATTTTAAAGAAGTAAAGATTTACATGGTTACATTCTCTGGATTTGGTCCAGATTATTAGTCCTTTTTATATGACCTAGATGGTGTGTTCAGCTGTTTGTGCATATTAAACGAAAGTTCCAGTCCTTTTGGTTTGTCCCTTTTGTCTCCATCATTAGGACAATGTTCAAACGCCAGCCAGTATTTGGTTGATAAATACAGAAATCCTTGATGTTTTTGTAGCCCCAAAAGATGCTTCCCTTCTAAGCTTTCCCCATCCCAGTCTTGGGTGGCAAACTCCTTCCAATCTTGGACTTTGGAAAATCTGAGTACACAGGTTCCCATTCTCGTGGGCTTTCAGTGTACTCTGCTCCTACCTCCTTCAAGGTATCACTGTGTACCATCTTTATCTGCTGGTATGTCCACCTCCTCTACCAGGCCGAGAGGGGGTGGAATTCATGTGTACAAGTGCTGCACATCTGGAATAACAAGACATGGCAAAACCCAGCTACACCTGTGTCCACACGAATACAGCATTCCCAGCATAATATGCATATACCACTGTCGTTCCCTAGATGAGCTTGAGGTGGATGAACTAGCCCGTCAAACACATGATTTCATGGAATTAAAGTTGAATTAAGAAAAATATTCTTAAAAATAATAATGTAAGTGGTTACCAGGGGGTGAGGAGAGGAGAGAATGGAAAATAACTGCTTAATGGGTATGGAGTTTTCTTTTGGGGTGATGAAATGTTTTAGAACTAGATGGAGGTCATGGTTGCACAATATTATAAATGTACAAAAGTGATAATAATATAGGTAAAGGACAAATGTCAGTGGTGCACAAATGATCATAATTTTAAAAACACTTCTCTGACATAGCAGGTATCATATGTGAGTCATGAAAAGTAAAAAATCAGAGTGCGATACATGGAGACTCATCAATAGAGTTCACGTATTTTCAAGTCTTGAGGATTGTTCTGTGAATTGTTTCAGAAGATAAATTGAGTAATTATTTTTAAACAGAAACACCCTAAGACAAGAAGTCGAATACGTGCCTCGTTACGTATTACTTTCTAGAACTTAACTCCAGTCGATTTCTTGGTGGTGGCACTGGTGGAAGGAGCGTTTCTGCTAAAGGGCTGTCCTCTGGATGTACCGTGTGTGTGTTCTGTCTTGCAGTGGACCCAAGCGCTACGACTGGACTGGGAAAACCTGGGTGTACTCCCACGACGGTGTGTCTCTCCATGAGCTGCTGGCCACAGAGATGACTAAAGCCTTGAAAACCAAATTGGACTTATCTTCCCTGGCCTATTCTGGAAAAGACACTTGATGTCTAGTCCAACTCTGAAGACATTAAAAGCCAAGACCCCAGCTTCATCCTGCAGAAGGTTCCTGCTTTTGCGGACAGTTGTATTGTGTGTAACAGCTCTGTGAAAAGAATGCGTCACCTCCCACCCTACCCCGACTTCAGATTTTTAATATCCATAGTGTTTTTGGATTTATTGTCTAATTTCCTCCCTTTCATATCCCTTATCTTTATAATGTCTATATACTCATACCTTTCTATATATACCTTACAACAAAGAAAATAATAAGAAGGAAAATTCTGAGGGGAGAAGTGAATTGGCTTCACTATTCATTCTTTGAAGGACTTACTAAAAATCTGCATGAATTGAGGCTGGCCGACCTCATCATTCTGTCTCAAAATGAGACTCATTAGAGAGTAGCCTAGAAATGTTCCCACGCCTCTCGAAAATGTACACACTTCCAAGCCCTTTAGTATTGAAGTGTCAATGGCAACTCAGGAATTCTCAAACCGAAGACCATTCTCTCTTTGTGATTTGTGTATGCCAGGGTGTAGCCTGCGAGGGGTGACTCAGATGTGATGCTGTTTCTCCTATATATACATATATGTGTACACACACACATTTAAATATGTGTGTATATAATTTTTTTTTTTAATTTAAGTGTCAATATAGAATCAACTACTGCAACATAGGTCTGGGAATGCAAAAAATATTCCAAAGATGAGAGGGGAAGAAAGCCATCTCCATAAGCTTGTGGACTTTATATAATAAATGAGGTAATGGAGATGAGGAGGCAGTTTGTAGATAGTGAAGGGCCACATAAATGAAAGAGACGTTTGTGTTTATGAAAAGAACTCTGACCGACACTTGGCTCAGCCCAAAGTGCTGTCTATCTCGGCAAATTTCACAAACTCTCCGGACCTCTGTTTTCCTGAGTGTTAAATGTAAGAGTTGAGTCTACAGCCATACCACCCTGAACGCACCCGATCTCATCTGATCTCAGAAGCTAAGCAGGGTCAGGCCTGCTTAGTACTTAGATCGGAGACCACCTGGGAATACCGGGTGCTGTAGGCTTTTTGAATGAATGAATGAAAGAGTTGAACTGGAGAGAGTATAGTTGATTCCCAATTCAGACATTCAATATTCCTGTCAGGCAACTTAACAGGCTACCTTTAATTCCCTCTGGACAATGAACAATTTTTTTTAAGCTATAGAGTAAATATGTGGTTATTGGAATTACTCGAATTTCCATTGAATTCATGTTCAGATAATAACCATCCTTTATTGTTTCCACACTGTGCTAAGCCTATGCTATAGACTGAATGTTTATGTTCCCCCAACATCATAGGTTGACTCCTAACCTCCAAAGCTATGGTATTAGAAGGTGGGGGCTCTGGGAGGTGATTAGGTCTTAAGAGCAGAGCCCTCATGAATGGAATTAGTGCCCTTATAAAAGAAACCCCAGGGCACTTCCTCACCCCAATACCATGTGAGGACATAGCTATCAATGAACCAGGAAGTGAGCCTTCACCAGACACTGAATCTGCTAGAGACTTGACCTTAGACTTCCCAGCCTCCAGAACTGTGAGAAATAAATTTCTGTTTATAAACCATCCAGTCTGTAGTATTCTGTTACAGCAGCCTGCTACACCATATGACCTCGTTTTAATACTCACCTGCCGAACATTAAAACTCATCCAAAGGTATATTCCTATTATTTTCTTACTAAAGAAACATTAATGACAAGTCTATAAAACTGTCTATCAAAGACTTTTGTAGTGAGTGAATCAAAAACATTCCATTATAGAAAAAAAACCTTAAAACTATAAACAAATGCTGAATTGGTATTTAAAATATTTTCTTTCTTCAGAAATAAAATTATTGTTTAGTCTGGTGGAAATTTTAAATGTGGTAGGTCAGAATCAGTGAAAATAAAATCATTCATACATGTGTATGCATATCTTAATGAAAGTTTCATTGCCCCTTATTTGAAATTCAAACAGTACACTCATTTATCTGAGACATGGCATAAAACTTAGATATTCAGGCGGCTGTGACATGAAAATGGAAGTTGGGGTTACAACATAAAACTTAAGAGGTATTTAATCAGGGTACCATAACATGAAAAAGGAAGTTAGGGAATCTGCTCTTGATGCTTTCCTTGTGGGCCAGCCTTTCAGGCCTATTGACTTTTACTTTACATACAATTCTAACTGGTTTGATTATTTAGTTTCTAAAGCCCTGGAAGGTTCCCGTTAAGGCAGTGAAAGGACTGCAAGCACAAGAACAGCCACCAGGGGGAGGCAAATAAAAATGCTCTGAGAAGCAAACTGGAAAAGTACCACTATGTGGCACCGGTAGTCCGCTCCTCCACCTCAGACCCTGGAAGCGTCATCACATTTGTGGTATCACCCATGTGAAGGATGAGTTTTCAGGAAAATGTAAACATTCAGTATATATATAAAAAAAGAGGCAAGAAAATGTAATTTTAGAAAGTTTTCAATAATGTTCAGCTTCCTGCGTGGATAGACCCTTAGAAACTAGAAAATAAAACTATCCAGAATGTCTTATTTACCTCTCTCTAAAGATACAGAGAAACACTGTGGTGAATAAAAGAGAACCTGAGTTTTTGAACTAGAATTTTACAACTAATCCAGACTCTGCCACTTACTTGTATGTTGATATTAGCCTCAGTTTTCTTATCTGTAAAATTCAGATATCTTGTGGTGTTAGGGCCCATATGCAAAGCATTCAGTGCATGACAAATATTGTTATCACATGTGCAATATAATTTTATATCCACATTTGGGGTTTTCCCTCAAAGTATTATTTATGACCTCCTCTACTCATCTTGAACTTAGTCAAAATGCTCATTTTGTGACTGGTGATGGGATTCTGATTCCCGAGAACAATTTTTCTTGCTCCCCTCCAATGCTTATATTTTACTCCATCTTCTCTATAGCTGCTAAAAATAATTTGACCAATATGTTTCTCAAGTTATAGCTGCTCCTAAATTCGAATAATCCCATTGCTACCTTTAAAGAAAGACCATGTTCATAAATGTGAAATTTGTGTGGACTGGCTATGCAAGGTTGCCAAGGAAAGCTGGT